TGCAGAGGGCTTTATGCTGCAGTGGGAAATTGACAAGCATCTCACTTGTATGTCAAGAGTCAGTAGAGATGTCTTGGCTCAAAGCAGTTGTCAGTAGTAATCCACACTTGCGAAAGTTGTGTCTGAGTTTGATATGGCTCACGGATTATGGTGAAGCAGGTGAACTGTCTATTTTCCTTTTTTTAAGGTTTGCATACATGGGCTGCGGTATTGATAACATGCTAAGTATTTTTTTTAAATTTGTTTTAGGAGAATTACAAGATGTTGAACAAGGTGTGTTGTCTAGCCTAGAAACATTTGAATTACATGTACGTGACACTTATCACAACAGCAGAAGACTAACAAACCACATTCTTGATTGGGCATTTCCAAGTAACAAAGTACCATACGATAACCTTACAAGCTTGGATGTGACATGTCCCCATAATCCCATTATGTTTACACAGCTTCTTAAATTTCCTGCTTTGAAGAGGCTGAATTTGACTGGTTCATTTGTGCCCAAAGAGCAATCCCTATGGGATTTTCCCAATTTCCAAACCTTGGAGTGGTTAGAACTAAATAGCTGCCGTGGAATCAGTGGTGATCAACTACACTTTCTGTCTCAAAAAGTGGGAAAGACTCTCTGCTACTTAGGCCTTGCACAAATTCCAATGATTACCAATAATAATCTACGAGAACTGGCCATTATGTTTCCTGTTCTTAGAACCCTTGATCTGAGTGCATGTTCAAGAATCACAGATGCATTGCTGGTGGAGTGGTACATTAAGCACAATAGAAATGAATGGCCGAAGTTGAGAAAACTCATTTTGAAAGGTTGTGAAGGAATCAGTGTGGATGTTGTAAACTCAGTACGGTTAAAGACAAGAAATCAACTTCTTGTTGACTTGTGAATCCTCTTGCTCTTTAGAGAGTTTGCAATTGGGGAACCTTTTCTTAACCCTCAACATGCAAACAGCAGTATGTCTAGTATCCATGCTGTTCTTTATGCATTTCATATGGTACTGACAACAAGAATTTGTTTGAAAATCAAGAGCTTCTTAAGGTGAAAGCCATTTCCTTTATTCCCATGACCTACTTGCTTGATATAGGGAGAAATTTAAAGCTAGGTACTCTTTGGGGTTAACTTGAGTTTCATACTATGAAAAAAAAATGATGCATTTGAAGAACGTATTCTGGGAATGTAGCTCAGAATTGAATTTCAAAAATGCAATTTGGAAACAGTGTAGAGGGACCTTTGAGGCTGCATTTTGAAAGTGCATTTGGAAATTCACTTTTGCATGTACTTCAGGGATGCACTATGAGAATAAACCATTGCTGTAAGAAATCTTGAACGACTGTTCTAACTTCGGTGCTGCTTAAACAGAATATAGATATTTATTACATAGGTGTTAAAATTTGATGAATAAATCATTGCTACATTATTCAAGAAACACTAAAGCATTGAAAAGACAAATGAATAAAGAGGGTAAGTTTCTAAAGAAACTTAGGTGCTACACTGCCAGAACAAGATGAAAAAAACACTAGAAAGCATAAGAGGTCAAATATCTATCATTGTCAATATGTCTGTACACGCTAAAACGCAGGCAGAGCATGACAGAAGACTCAAAGAGGTACTTAAGAAACTTGAGAGTGCTGAAGCAACTCTTTATACTGGAAAATGCGAATTATCAAAAAGAGAACTCAAGTTTGCCGGATATGTTCCAAACCAAGATGAAAAATTTGCAATTGGGAGAGGACAGATTCCATCCACATCATAGATCCTTCCAAATGTGAGTGACATGCGCAGACTCCTCAATATGGTCAACCAGCTGTGGTATCCAGTCCACTGCCCAGACAATTGTAGTTCATTTTGTGCATGCGCATACCGTTTTGAACAAAGAATGCCACGTGTTTGTAGTTGTCAGAAAGTTTAGTTACTAAAAGAGTGCATTATATAGAGGCGGTGGCTACACGGGCGACGAGGATAACACACAACAGTAGCAGGGAAAGGAAGAGAAACTTAGCAACAGAGGTTTGCAAAAGTGGCCAACAAGCGAAATACTGCGACGCGTGAATCCATCGCTAGACAAGCAAACATGTCTGACACGGAACAACCACCACCCAACTAAGCAGGTGCAATGCAAGATATTAAAGCAACAAGAAACCTAAGATCTCAACCATTCACCCCAGGAGATAACCCAATAGCCACAAGAAACGTGTGGGACGACTGGCTCTTAGAAATTGAATGGGAATTCAGATATTTCAAGATTACCGAACCACTCGACTATAAATATGCACTTATCATTTATGGCAGAAAAGAACTCGCCCGCCTGGAGAAAAGTTTACCAAATCTGACAGATGGCGATTAAGACTACGAAAATTTGAGAAAAAGCTGAACGACCACTTCAAGCTGAAGAAAAATAAATACTACCCAAGATACGTCTTCCTTAATATGAGATCAGCCCATGACGAAAACAACTAACCCCTGTGCTGCTCGGTTAAGAGAGAAAGCCAACAACTGCGACTTCAAAATTGCAATGAACGAATCGTGGACCTTATCCAAACTATAGCATTTACTCAATGTCATCTGAGAGACTCTCAGCCCAGTTATTTAGGGGACAGGTTGCCGTCTCAGCCAGTTCACTCCTTAAGTGGCACCATGACCAATTCAGAGAAAAGATACAGCCAGACAGAAAAAGATGCCCTGGCAGTACACTGGGCAAAGCGCAAGTTCAGCATTTACCTCCTGGGAGCACCAAAATTAAAGATCATTACAGCCCACAAGCCATTTCTCCCAATGTTTAACAAGGCAACCACGCGACTCCCACCAAAAATTGAAAAATGGGTAATGGGAATGCAAGATGACCAAAACAAAGCAGACTATAGGAGGAAAATATGGGTACCCAAGCATGAACAGTATGATTGAACAAATCATAGGTCACTGTTATGCTTGTCAAGTTACCACAAAACAGGCAGGAACCCGTTAAAGTCACAGACACGTGGGATGTTATAGTTGTAGACTTCAGTGCACCATACCCTGATGGACACTACAATCTAATGGCCATGAAGAAGAGAACAAGATATCCTGAGGTCGCGAAGACCCACTCAACAACTTCTAAACCAACCATGGAGAAGCTCAAAACAATGTTTGCCACTCATGGCACCTAAAGAGAGCCGAAAAGTGACAACGAACCACCGTTCAACTCCAGAGAATTTGCCAAGTTTGCTAAAACAGCGGGATTTCACCATCAATGAGTTTAAGGCTGCTGAACCTCTCACCACACCTGAGGTCTCAAGAGCTTTTCAGACAATCTATACAATCTATACGCGAGGACCATTGAGATGGCCAATGGCGAAGCCACAAGAGAAATGGAACGTGAACGTCTCTTCATTTTCCAATAGAGTCAGGAGATAAACTTCAAAAACTTCCAGAAATTGTTTCAGCTTTGAATAGTGAAGTGACCAGGTTGACTGGAAAGAAAAACTGTGGATGCTATCAAAGAAAAGTTAGTTGACGCAAAGAGTTCAACTTCTTATTCAAGGCTGTTTGCCTGAAGGAATTCTTTGATTTGAAAAAAAAACCTCTGAAAATGAGTTTCTCGGTAGACCCAAGCGATCCTGGAGAACCAGGTGATGAAGATCTGGACAATTAAGACCGTCAATTATGCCAATCCAACTGACGACGAAGACGCAGCAACAAGTAGTATGCCGTTGAAAAAACCGACACAACCAATTTATTCTCTTTTTTGTGAAAGCATGTAGGCAGAAGTCTCTTTATTGAGACATTCATCAACGAAAAAGGAACGTGTTGATATCACACAGACCACATCTCAAACAGGGAAGTACTTCAATATAATAACTTTAGTGTTACTGCTTTCGATCAATCAGGTTGAACCGTGCAATAGAAAAAAATAAAATTTCACTCGGACGAAAAACACCAATCTCAATACACAATGGAAGACACTCTTTCTTTTTTGATGAAAATACCCATTTTAATCTTCCTTTTATCAATAATCTTAAAACGTTAAATGTCCTCAGTGTTATCACGAAATATAAGAGAAGTTTAAATGGAACAACAATATATACAAGAAACTGTTTGATTGGAAATGGATTCATAGAATACTATTTTCTTTCTCTTGAAAAAGATAAGTTGTTATTGGTGGTAAAATAACAACATCAGAACCACATGTTCCATTCACTGTTGTTGGAGAAAACACAAAATAACTCCATATACAAAGAAAACCAGATTTTAAATTTGTTTCTATTGATGTTAAACCTTCAGCAAGATTCAAGACAAAAGCAAACTCAACAGGAGGAGGAAAGTGGAAAATTGTCAGCTGTCACTGGAGTATGGATAGTAATGGAGATGCTATGATAAATTATTCTCTCTGATGCAATGGGAAAAAGCCTCTCAACTCATAGTGCAAGAGCAATTAGTTGTAATATTAATTATGTTGGGGGGAATTTTTCAAAACAAGAGAGAATTTTGATGAAGGTTTAAACTCAGACTGTCATACTCTTCTCATTTATAGAGATAGTTTTGATATACGAACAAATCAAGGTACATCGCGACTTCTTCACAAGAAGATACAATATTGATGCCCATCCTTTCAAATGACTAAATTTATTGAAATTCATTCTGATACTGAATATTGACAAGTAAATATATAAATTCTTTCAAAAAATTATGACATGAGATTTCCCCGCTTGTCTTAGTTGTAGTTATAAAATAAGAGTTCTGGGACAATGCAAAACTAAGGATAAAAAAGTGTCAAACTTAGTCTTTAAATAGTTTCAACCAGTAGCAACAATCTTAAAATGGGAAAACCACAGCCACATAATAGCAAGGATTTTTAGCAATGAGATTTTCATACAAGAAATATGAAAAAATCTTGAAAATGGCAAGTGAATGCTTAAAGTTCTCTCGGATGCAGTTAAATGTTATCTTAATCCTTTTCAATAGTTCCCATTTGTTCTTTTGTTTTTTCAGTTTTCCTGTCAAGTTCCACTGCTTGAATCTATCAATTCTATAACCAAAACCTGTACTTAGTGGCTAACTCCAAGAAAGTCTTGGAGACAACAGGCAAGTTACTATAAATTTCATGACTGTTATAAATTAACACTGACCAGGAGATCTGCACTTAATTTTTGTCATAAACAAATCCTGCCAGTTTGGATGTTGTAACTTTCACCCCTGATTCTTTTGTCTTCTTAGCTAAATTAATTGTATTTAAAGAGTCTTCATTTTCCTCATCTGACATTTCTCTTTTGCGTTTCTTTTCTCCTTGTTCCGTTTCCTCTGCAGTTTCCTTTGCTTTATTCTTCCATTCCATCTTTTCATCTTCATCAAGTGCCTTCCATTGTCGCATGGCAGATTTAACAAGATCAGTACCAGTCAGCTCAGGATTTTCTTCTGACAAACCTCCTTTGTTCTCCTCAAACCAAAGGGTAAAACCATTCACTCTGTCAGAAATAAAACATGAACGTTTTACTTTCCAAGATCTTTTAATACTCCTCTCTTTGAGTTATTAGAAATCTCATCTATAAATTAGACAAGGAAGTTTGGTCATCAAGTTACCAATATTTTGTAAATTCATGTCTTTTCCCCAGTATATCAAGTTGTCCCTACGGGGCGTGGAAAAAAAAGAAGATGAAACTTGCAAAGACCTGCCCATATTAAACAATTATTCTATACGAGCACATTTGTTATGAGTTGGCCATATCCAATCGCGTATCCAACAAGCGCAGATGGAATAATTTTCTTCTTGATTTTCATTGAATCCACAACATTTGGATATTTGGAGCCCTTTTTCAGCTCCACAATAGTTGCCACTAAGGTGATTCAGAATATGAGCTGAAAACCAGAGTTGAGTAAACCAATCAGAAAACTAGAAATGCAATATTCGGAGTTTGAAATTCAAATAACAAATGATAAACCATCGAATAAGATGTATAAATACGGGCAGATTCAGGAGCAATTAGTGACCACGGGGAAATGTCCGCTTTTATCATGTTAGACCATCGAATAAGGGACTTGCAACCACTCCATTATTTCTTTTTCTAGTATAATTTTGCCTTCTAGTTTTCGAAAAAGATCCTTGAGCCTCAACTTAGCATCGCATCGACCGCATAAGGCATGCACAAAAGATGAAAGCAACCTAGATGAAACCATTTAAATGTGTTAATACCAACAAAACAATCTGAAGCGTTTAAAGTTTGTTTTTTAAAAAGCCTGCTAAGAGAAAACCAAAACAAATCATTAAGTGGAAGCATTTTGCCGCTCTTCCTTCTGTTCGTGTTTTAGCCTAGCAGCACGGAATACTGGGAGTTCCAGTGCTCTAATGGTCAAATGATGTAATATTTAAAAAAAGGACAATTCTCCACTTACTTCTTAGAGGGTGGGTTTTTCCTTTCTGGCGATGTTTCCTTATTCACTGTTGCTTTCTCTTTCTCTGGAGGTGTTTTCATCAAAGTGGTTTGTTTTCCTCTTTTCTTTTTCTGAACTGGCTTGGAATCAGGAGCTGTAAGGTAGAGTGCTTTTTGAGAAGGGTTTATAGCTTAAAATTCTGTTAGCCTGTTCCAGGTGTCAAGTTAACAAAACAGAGCGAAATAACAATCGGCGTCATAGTATATGCTAAGTAAAATCGCGAGGTACGCTTGGGTCAAGTCAACCCAGGCCTCCCTTGTTTTATCACTTCTCAGTTTACTATCGCGCTTCGTTTTACTGGTGAAAGCCTAGAATAGGTTGAAATTCTGTTTACAAACCCTCCATTCTTCCAAAATATCTAAGGAGGTTTCTACGTCACAAAATACTGATGAAAAAAGTCTTTAAAAATTAGCGAAACACTTCGCTGTCAATCTTTTTTTTTGTTGTTCCCAGAAGTTAGAAACTACTCCCACAAGGTTAGCCAATGAGCCAATCAGAACACAGGGTTTACTTTATCTTGCCTGTTTGAGCAGCAGATAAGAACTGAGGACATGCTTCAACTTGCTCACTTGCAAAGCCAGCTATATAATAATTTGCAGCACTTTTGCCATCATTTATAAACAACTTCATCTCTCTCTGATTAATTCTTGCCTACGTGGTGTTTGTCAATCTAATCAAACCGTTTCTTCAAGTGAATGAAGGGAGTAAGTTTCTAAATAAATTGTGGTGCTGCATCGATCGGGGTACAAAATGATAATTTGCTTTTATTAACTGAGTTAACAATGAAGAGTATATCCAATGTCGCAAAGCCTCAGTTGAAATCAGAAAAATCAGTGTTGTTTACAACCATAATTTGAATCGCTTTTGGGAATGAAGTATTGTCAACTACAAAACTAATTTCGTCGCCTGGAAGAGCTACACGCTCACTGTTGAGAAAGATTTTTTTTCGTCTTCTGACAAGCATGGGACAGAAAAAATTCTGAGTCCCCACAAGGAATTGAACCTCAGAACTTTGGATTTCACACTCTGATGCTCTACCACTGAGCCACACAGCACAGAGACTCCACGGTGAGGGAGGTCTATTACGAAGTTCATATGACACGCAAATTGTTTTTCGAAACGTGTATTATTTAGCATATTTTCCTTTAATTTTGAACTCAAAAAGGTCGATCTCAGTTAGGATGAAACGGAAAATCAGTCTTCTTGACAATTTTGAAACCTCACGGCTAAACTCGACGAGATATTTCAGCCAAAGCGAAACTACATATGTCATGTTATGGATGCACGGCTGAGCGTACGTAAGCATTTTTACCGCGGTAGCTCCCTAGGAATTAGGTAGGCCTGGTGTGCGTGTTAGGTTATAATGAAAATTGGCCACTGTAAAGAATTAATAAAGCTAAGGTTTCGAGCGTTAGCCCTTCCTCAGAGCGACTGCAGGGTTAGATTCAATAACAGTGCAGTTTCTTTCGTGCAGAGAGACTTCTCAAAATATAAACACCATTTTTAGCAAAATTAAGGCTTTACTCACATATTTTGCTTTTCCTTTGCAATGATGCTTTCTTTTCTTCCTCCACGCTGTCGAAAAAACTCTTCCCACACACACCAGACGCCCTTTTTCCAGGACTAGATACTCTGAAGGGATTAGATCGGCCTTGACTTGGATTTGAGCTCGGAAGAGGCGACAAAGGTGGGTTAGACTTTGCATTTGAAATGAGTTTTGATCCTAAGTCTTGACTATCCAATCTTGATAAGCCCTTCCTCTCTGTAAAAGAATCATTTGAATCAATATTAGTAGTCTGCGTAGAAGACAAACTTTAAAGAAAGCCAAGTATAGGCTAGTACAAGTGCTAACGCGTTTCAGTCAAAGAGGTGTCTTTCACAAAAATTCTGGAATGTGGGTGCACCTTTCAGTAAAATGCAAATCACCTGAGCTGTTTTTATTATTATTATTATTTTTTTTTTTTTTTTTTTTTTTTTTTACATTTGCTACAACCTGAGAAAAACGCAAATAGTGATACACCACCTTTTTTTCTGGAAATCTGTTGATCGTCATCGTCAACATCCATGTCATCGTCCACTTCATTCTCCTCGATTTCCTCCTCTTGTTCAACTTCTCGTGGTATATGAGAAGGCCGATGACTACCCACCCTTGATGAAGATATCTTACTCCTCCTTACAGGCCAATCAATTTGTTGGAAATCGTCCTCAAACTCCTCCTCAGCTTCCAGTTTTGCCTTTTCACGGGCCAACTCATCCAGTCGATTTGCCAAGTTCATGCGTCTGCTCCGTGCTGCATATTTTATTGCTAAACTTACCTTAGGAAGGAAAGAGCTACACTAAGTCATGTTGTATCATTTTTTTCTGCAGGTATTGGTCACTTATCCTACATGTGGGTTGGTGATTTGACTATAAAAAGTTGTCGAAAGACAAGTGACAATACTGGGCGTACCTCCACTGACGCAAACTTTTTTGTTTTACATTCTCCTTGCGAGTTCATTTGCGCTTAGCCTGGGATCTCTATGCATTTCCACTAAAACCCGTCTCCTTTTTATTTGTTATGCTCTATTATGGCAACTCTTTCACTGATTAAACGCCTGGCAGAGGCCAACATGTGTACATTTTGCTGGCTTAACTTAATGACAAAGGCACTCATACTTACAAGTTATTCTCTTAGGTCATTGGAAATTGTCTCAGTAAACAAAAGCTTAAAGGATTGAAACGGTGTTCTGAATAACATAACCAGTTCTGATTGAAAAACATCTTTAAAAAAATGATTATACGTTGAAGCCAAGGCCTTTTCTCGTGCCAATTGAAAGGAATCGTGACATTAAGAGTACACAAGTGCAGCAGATAACACGATTATTAACCCTTTACACCCTAAAATCTGTACGCATATTCTCTATACTGTTCTTTATACATTTCCTAAGGTGCTGACAAGGAGAATTTGTTTACCAATCAAAAGCTTCTTTCATTGGTAATCATTTCCTTTATTTTCATGACCTTAACATGTGATTGACAGGTGATATTGTAGGAAGAAATTTGATGCTAGTCACTCTTAGGGGTTAAAGGGTTGAACTCGAAAAGGTCACTGAATATACTTACAGAATGGGCATCTGGTAGAAGTTCACACAACTCCATTGCACGGAACTCTCTATCACTTTTACAGGCCAACTAAATTTAAAAGAAAAAAAACATATTGCTGCCACATTCAAACCATTTTCTCCTAACAATTTTTAACTTCTGAAAGACCTTCAAGGTCATAAAATCACTTCCACCACAGACGCCACAAAATACTAAACAGTGACAACATATTTTTCATCATTCAGTAGTTGAAATGAAGACTTGAAGGCTGCAAATTAACAAATAGACAAGCCTTGAATGTGCTCTGTTCTGTTATAAAGCACGCAGGAAGCGGCTAGAGCACGAAAGAAGTGTAGGGAGAAACACGAGACGTAGTCGAGTGTTTCTCCCCACTTCTTGAGTGCTCTAGCCGCTTCCTAAGTGCTTTATAACAGAACAGAGCACAGTCAAGGCTTCTTCTCGTCAAATTCCCCATGCATTACTTCCAATTTTCAAAACAAACTTTATTTCCAAAGCGAACAACAATGTCGTCAGCATGCTCTATACTCTCATAGAGCACGCTACAATAAGCAAATCAGAATCCCTATTAGAATGGTTCAAATAATCTGATTGGCTCTACAAGACAAAAGCTGTCAAAAGTGTCAAACCATCAAAGTTCACAATCTGCGATAGTTTACAAACTCAAATAGTTCGGCAGGTCGATTTTAACGCTTTTGCCTGAAGTTTTTAATACAGAATCTTCAAGTGAAATGTTCAGTGAACTTCAGCCGAATTATGGCTCATAAAAAACACGCGAGTTTTTTCACATGATAAGGTAGAAAACAAACTGTTCAAGGCGAGTGTTTTTTTAAATGAACGACAGCCGAATTCACCGGAACATGAAGATCGCTCGGGATGACAGCGCCGCAAAACTCGCCTTTGTTTGGTTCTTCTGTTGCTACTTGCCGGCTCGCTTGTTCCGAAATCTTACTTTCAATTATCGGAAAAAAGCTAAAAAGAAGTCCCAGAAAAGGTCGAACATAGTACAATTTGGCAGATGGCGTGACAGCTTTAGCTCAGTTCTATGCTCTATACTCTCATAGAGCATGCTCTTTCAACCAATGACAACGCGCGTTATATCCGAACTTTATTATAAAAAAGATTAGTTCAAATTTTACTCCTTGAACTGAACCGAAAAATAAATTAAATGATGATAATAGCAATAAAAATAATAATAATAATCACTATTATAATTATAAGGATTATAATACCGGTAGTAATAATAATAAAAAAAAGGATACACACCGCAAACAACTTCATAATGCTCTGAATCTGAGATGTCTTTGCCAGGTTTGATGAAGCTTCATCTCTCTCATCAGATGCTCCGAACACGAGTTTTGACCTAACATATGTTTCCTGTATAAGAGGAAAGAAAAAAAAATCCCGTTAGGTACCCGAAAGAATTTTTCACCTTGTGATATGGCTAATGCGACCTTCGACGTAAAAACATACCCTAAAAATTATTACACATGTAAACATACGACAGATTGAAAACCATTCTTTTCCCGTGATTTTATTTTCTTTCCTTTTCATCCTGAAGAAGGCAAAATTTCTCCCCTTCACAACAAATCTATCCATTTTCACAGCATAAGCAGCTAAGAGGAAGATAAAACTACATGTATTGTACATTTAGAGCCGTCTGCTATGGGCATGAAGGTGAGTTATTAATGAATCACTCCATGAGCAGCTAATAGCAGATGGTGAGCATATGTGCTCCTGGTTTAGCATGCTGCAGCCTTGTTTTAACACGACTTTTCTAGTTGCTCCACGTACCTCTAGCTGTCCTTTCTCTGTCGTCATTTCACAAAACGGAAGTTGCAAGGGCATAAGGACAAGTACAGGGCGTGGCAGGGTGGGTGGGTATGTTGACCCCTTGCAGTAGATGCACCTGAACGGGCCAAAAAGTACAACATATAAAATACTGTGTTATATAGTCAAAGGGAAACCTGAGAGTTTCGACTATCCCAAAGAAGTAAGTTGATTTATGATTATTGTAGTGCTCTCGATAAGATTTGAAGAAGATTGCTACCTCGGTAAGGCAACCGCCGGAGAATAATATGAAAAACAATTTTCCTCTTGTTATCCCATTACTTCCATTCAAAAGAAACTGGCCACAAACGGATTTTCCTTGTCACTTCCGTAAACATTAGTCCTTTATAATAATTGTTTAACTGATCGTTCTATTTCTGACCAAAATCTTCCATTTGCTAACATGCAAGCCTGCTCTTAAGTTTCACACAAAAAGTCCCTTGAAAGGCCATATGGTTACTGGTTACCATGAGCTGAATCAGTATCTTCTTGGAAACTCAAAATCTTTCTTTTGTTGGAAATGTATCCTGGATTATATGATAATACAATATCAATCATTATTATCAAAACTTGTTTTTGAAGGTAATAGTTAACTGAAAGAACTCAAAAAGATCATTAGGTGTTTCAGGTCTCTCTTCGTGAGTTTGCTTGAAAGCTTTCAGAGTATACCTGGCGATTCACAACAGAATATATGCCGAAACTCTGGTGAGTGCCAGGTCTCATTAAAAGCACTGTATTGTGAAGCTGAAAAAAGGTGAAGGTCTTTTACCTGATCTGCTGGCTTTTCTCATCCAAACCAACCACCCAATAATTGTCAGACTTATTCTTCATCTGAAATAACAAGTAATCCCTGAATTTTACATTGTTCATGGAATGAAAGAGAGAAGAAAAAGAGACCGAACGAAGGGTGGAAGGGAGTAAGGGGAAACAGTCCAAAAGAGGAGGACGATGATGATGATGATGAAGAGATGAGAAACCCTAGAAAATTGAAGAATGGAGGGAAGGAGATTGAAAAGAGGGAAGAGAGAAGAAATAGAAGAAGAAGAGGGCAGAGCAGAGGAAAGGTTAATACAGAGTGGGGCAAAAAAAGAGAGGACAGGTGCAGATCAGGAAAGGAGCGATAAGGAAAATTTGAGTTTAGAAAGACAGCAACATAAAAAATATCAACAAATAGAATATGAAGAAAGCAATGTTTGGACATGGGCTGGAAAAAATACACCTTTGTTAAAAAATTTAAACTTACTGGTAAAAAAACCCAATGGAAATAAAGAAAAGAACAGCAAATTTCATCTTTAAGAATTTTCGTTTTGGTAAAGTGCCTTTACATTTTGTGTCCTGATCTTCTTTGTTAGTTTCTTTATTTTCACCTAATGTGGTAGGTGACTTTGTGTAGCGAAGGCAATCCTCACATGTTCTTCTGAAGATGTGAGCACCAGGTAATTAACACGTGAGCTTTCCTGGGATGCTTAAGGTTTCATCAGTCTCACACTTACATTGCTTTTAGTGATACAAACTGGGGACCATGATGTACCAAAGGAACAGGACAACAGTCTTACGACGCCAGCTGAGTCAACAGTGACTGGAGTGCCTTCTTCAGAGAAACTTTGAAGGAAAAAAAGAAAGATCAAGCATTTGAAATTACTGCCACACTCACATAGCAACAAATTGTGCAAAATCTCTAAATACTGTTATTACTGTCTCTAGTACAGTCATGTGTTGCTACACTAAGCTCCTTCAATTAGCTTAATCATGCTTTGAACAACCCACCAGAGGAGTTCTGATTATAAAGGCTTTAAGTTCTTTCAAACTTTAAGTGCAGAGAAACGATGCAGAAAAATTTGCGGTTAAAAGTCCTAATAATAAGTTGGCTTTTTCCGAAAATAAATCCAAATTCCTCTGCTTCAAGATTTTAGGGGTGTACCACCTCTGGAAATGCTGATAGGGTAGGGCAAGTTGGGGGGAACTGATTAAAAGCAAGTGCCAGTAGTAAGGTTGCTTAGTTCTTACCCAAGCCATGCCAGTGTTGACTTCTCACTCAGCAACACCCTCTCCTCTGCAATTATTTCCTGGTTGTGCTTCAAATCCAGTAATTTAAGAGCTAAAGCTTGCTCACCAGGGAGGGGGTTGTTAATGTGAAACACAACCATCAGTTGGTTTTTGTGTCCAGACATACACACTACTGAGCCAGGAAGGCTCAGAATGTCACCCTGAACCCCACCAATGGTGAAGATGCGAAGGAAACGCTTGTCAGTTGCAACAGCTACAAAAGAGCTGCCAGTTGCCACTGCCTAATGGATTGAAATGCAGTTAAAAGGCTGTTTGACTCAACTAATGAAACAAGCAAGTTTTATGCTGTATTTACTAGCCCCTGTTATTCTGGCCTGTAAATAGTTTGTAGTGCTTCATTCCAAACTTTGCTCCACCTTCATACAATTTTCAGGGACTCGCAACACTGGCCAGCAAAAAGACTGCAAGTGGTCTGGTCCTGATACTGAGAACCAGACTGGCCCTAAAAAAACCCCTGATTCTGTCATGCTCCCAAATCCCACCCCCACCCCTCACCTGAAAGTATGACACTGATAATGAGTGCCAGACCCCTGCAGACCCCTCCTAACTTGTCTGAGATCTTCCTGCAAGCAGCCTGCTCATAAACTGCTGTCATTCAAAGAAGAAACTATTTTATATCCTTTATACTACCAGTGCTTGAAAGCTATTTCTTTTGTTATGTGTCTTTGAACTTAAAACATCAATAAAATCCTAGCTCATTACCTTGAAATCATTCAAATTGAATAAATTAATATTTACTTCATATTTCAAGTATCAAATGGGAATTTTTAGCCTACATACTTGGATTGATTCTCCCTCAGGTAATGCAACAGTCCATTCTCTTGAATTATCCCAGCTTCCAAAATGGATGCAAACAAGCTTACTGCAACAATGCAAAATAATCCAAGTTACACTTTGCAACATAAAATTTATACATTTTCAAGATCCACTAGGCATCCCTAGAAGAGCCCTAAGCTGACATGCTCTGAAACCCCACACCCACCCCTCACCTGAAAATATATGTCAACAATTTTACCAACCTAGATAACATTAACTTTTCTTCTCACAATTAACAATTCATTTTCACACAGAAAGTTGATGAGAAGGAATAAAACACAGAAATAAATAATTTATGCTCAGATTTAATTTTGTCTGCAAACATCATCTGTTCCAAGATGTAATCAATTTTCTGAGAGCAAAGCTTGAAGAACACTGTGAGCTATGAGGAACCAATATGGTCAAAGAACAGCTTAAAAACAGCTAACTGTTTGCTGCATGGGATGTTTACTTTTCCTAGTTCTCTGGTATGACTTTATGAACAAAAAAATATGTCCTTCCTTTTCTAACAGCTAAACTCTCTCCCATCTTGAATTAAATCTTAAACAAAGACTTTTATTGTAGTGGTGGTAGGGTTGCAAATTGGGGAATATCACTTGGAATACATCACCTGGGCATTTTCTGTAATTTTGTTGTATTTAGACCAACTGTGCACAAGATAAATAAATTGATGGATTATAATGGCAGCTATTGCTTGTTTGAACAGGAAGCCCCAAAACCAGGGTTATAAGAAATGTATGATAGACTGTATGGATATCTGATATGCAGACCTTTGGATAGAAAGGGTTATTGAGAATTACAGTACCTTGGTGAATCTTCATGAGCTTTGCATGCTAACAAAACAGCAGTGGATGACAGTGCAGCCATGGTGTGATTCAGATGATTGGTCAGATGTAAAGGGTGATGGGTGCTTGTGTCATGGAATTCAACCTCTATTGATGATATCTCATCTTCTGTGTGGCAGCGTACTATTCCTACTGAATTCCATACCTGAATATGGACAGTGATAGGCACTTAGAGAGGAAAAATAGTCTTGCACCAGAAACAATACTATGTAGTCTGCAAGCAAGGCTCAAGCCTCAAAATTTCTGTCCAAAGTGCAGCATGCTATATATAAATCATAAGCCCAAAGTTTATCCCACTCAGGAAAGGATTACATCACAGTCAAACAATATTTTTTACTAACCATGAACCTGTGCATCAAGTGGACAGGGGTTGAACCTGGTTGGAATGGTGGCTGGAGTACTGGAATAAATGGAGTGTGGATCACTTCCTGAAGTCAAAAGCAAGACAAAATAATTATCTGTTAGTCATTTAGTCCCTCTTGAAACAAATGTTTATAACTTCTTGGGGTAAGAGGGTGGAAGGAATTCTGTTAATTAATAAAAATTATGCACATAGTGAATTGCTCTATCTCTGTCAAGTTAAATACTAATTCTGTCTTTGACAGCTGTGAATCAGTACAAATCTATTGTAAATTTTACCTTCTTGGGAGCTTGTGGTGCAGACACTTCACTAGCTGTGTCTCCATCATTCCCCCCATCACCAAAGTCTAATGGAGCTGCCAAAGCTGCTTTTAGTTTACGGATGTCTAGTTTGGTGAGAAAAAGTAAGTATAAATATAAAATATAAATATAAATATAAAATATAAATATAAATATAAAAAGGGGTAGAAATTAGAACAATATTCATGCAGGTACAACTAGGCCAAAAAAATTAAGTAATTTTTTTTCAAAAGAATGGAAACTTCATGATGAAGACTTGCTTGATCACAATCTGTTGCAATGAGAATTCAATTATTTGAAAGTAGCCTTTAGTACTTCTCAAAAGTAACTTATTTAAACACATGAGTGGCCTTGGTCATGTAATGTGATCAACCAGCAAAGAGTGGTCCTGAAAATAATGACAGTTCTTGGGACACGTTTCACAAGCCTCAATATGTTTATAAATATTAGGAAATGAACATTGTAATAAACATAGTGTTTTCAGAACCCCAACTGGTAGGAGGCAGACCAATTGGCTTTATACAAAGTGTAGCCAAGGAGTTCAACTTGGAGCATCCTAGAACAAGTCCAGTGAGTAGCAGGGTGGAGGGCTTAAACCAGGAACCCCTGGATTACAAAACTGCACCCTAACCATTCAGCCACACTGCTTCTTCCCACACTGTCAAGAAGAGGTCATGTAATACATCAAAATTTCTTGGAAATGGTTACTTATAAGGGATGAAAATTCCATCTTATCCAGGGTAATTAACACGTGGTACTTAAAATCTCTAACAGCTTTTGGCATCAATTAACCTTTGAACTCATCATCATCATCATCATCCTCTGCCTCCTCATCTATCCAAGCTGTGGACTTGCTTTTGGGTTTCTTCTTCCCAATGATAAGCTGTTCATCATCACTATCAGCATCCATGGCAGCAGACATCAAACTATCATCCATGACATCATTGTCAGTTACAGAGTGATTGGAGCTTTTCACCTGCGAAAGCAAAGTAACCCAATGTAAGTGAGACACAAGGAGGTAATTCTTCATTCATAATGTACAGGATATTTCCACAGAAGATAAAAACAAAAGTTAAAGGGGTAATATTGTAACTGAAAGTTCCAAGATCTCTTTCATTCAGGGTAATGTAGATAAGAGCCAGCAGCCGGTGAAGTATGCCAGCTTCTCTGCAAGGTTTCGCCAGCTACTTTCATTGCTTCTGAGATGATGTTTATCAGGCAATAAAAATATAAATTTGCATTGCCTATCTTTTCTGAAAACATAAAAAGACTTCTGACTCAAGGTTAGTTTAAAAACGTTCTGATGGGAACTGTCTTTTCGACAAATCTCGCTGTGGTGGCAGGAAAGTACAAATGATATGACATTTTGTCCACCATATTGGATTTCAAGACCCACAACCGTTTACCTTTAAAAAAGCTCCAGCTACTTAAAACCTTAAAGAGAACCCTGTTCATTTGTGTGTTGAGTTTCTTTCCCAAGCTCATACATAGACATAACTATCTTCATGTTTTGAAGGAAATGCCCAGACATTGCTAGGCATAGACATTTTTGGGTATCATATTCTACTCATGCTTTCTAGCCATCTTGCATCCTGCCAAACAAAATCTTGAGCATGATGGTTGTCAGCTAGCTAAATTTTCACAACCCTGTCATCAAGCAATACTCTTGTTCTCCCCTGGCTATCTTGAACCACATGCAACTAAAACCATCTCCTTGGTTTCCAAGGGGTCCAGGAAAATATAACCCAAATATAATGACAATTAGAACCCTCTACCAACAAATTTTAAACATTTGTTGGTTTCTTTGGTTTTTCTGTACACTTACAAATCACATTAAGATACTTGGTCATTACCTCTCATTACACCTTCCTTTCATTACCTTCATTTTCTTCTTTTTTTTTTTTAATTTCAAAAAAGGGTGCATAACTAACCTCATCATTTGGTATCACATTCTCGCAGACACCAAACTGACCCTGTAGCAAATCCAAACAAATTAAAAATTATTGTCTTCCCCAGTTTATCACAACTAGCATTCTTTTAGCTTACGGCATTATGGTCTAATCAAAGTCTTTGAGTTGGGTTTGGGGACAGAACACATAAATACACTCTAAAATCTTTCCTTTAGCATCAGTCATTCAAAACTTTTGAGATCATCAAGGGATGGATAATATTTATTACTAAAAAAGGAGAGTGAGAGTGATGATTGTGAGTGACAAAGAGTGAGGGGTGATGGTAGAGAGGGTTGGGGATGTGAGGCAAAAGCAGTTGATGGGGAGGGAGGGAGGGATGGGGAGGAGTGAGGGGTGAGAGATGAATGAGTGGGACGAGGTACAGGGAGGGGTAAGAGGTGAAAGGTTGGAGGTAATAGATGAGGGGTGATTGACGAAGGATGTAAGATGAGGGAGAGGGAGACTAATAACAGGCAAACAGTCAGAAATAAGAGGGGGAGGAGAGGGATGAGAGATGAAAGATGATTCTGTAGGATCTAGAGTAAGTTAAAAAGAATTAAAGGTGATGACTGAAGAATAAGGAGGGGAAACATGAGGGGTTTAGGGTACAGAGGAAGAGGATAGGGTGAGAGATGAAGGTTGTAGGATATGGGTTAGGGGGAGGGGTGTGAAGGGTAAGAAATCTATCAGCATCTCAGACAATGATCAGGTTCTACTGGTACTAGCAACTAAGCTTAGAAGCCAAGAGTTTGGAGGGAGGCTGAATCCTCATTTTTCTAGGATTTATTATGACTTTATCCATTCCTTTACTAAGAATCATTTTCAAACCACCCTTTGAACTATAGGCACCTGCTCAAATCTTGTCAGGGTAAACCCTACTGTCTGTGTCAAAGGCTCCCTGCCTCAGCTGTATAAAAAGTTATTAACACATATCTAAACATGGACTTCGAAACAGGCCCATGATCACCACAGTTCTGCTGGCTACTTGATAACATGTTGCCAGTTACTCTCGTCAAAATAATTACATTTTGGCCCTTAATGAACTTTTCACAGTCACATACTTTTGCCCAGTCTGACACCTACTTCAAAACATTTTGAAACACCTGCATGAAATAACACAACTCAAACATTATCACAATTTTGCTCACCTGATTATCAGTATAAGCAATTTCTTTATTCCCTTTTGGATTCCACGCCAAGCCACAAATTGTATGTCCATTTTCATGAGTTATCCTAGAATGAAATAATACTTCATCAAATTCAGGTATTTTGATTTTAAAAATATCAAGGGTAGTCTGATGCCATATTTTAAAGCATGCAAAGAAATGAAATTTTGCTTCAAGAGTTTTAAACTTGATATCTAATGAGCTAGCCCAGCAGACAAGTGAGATATTGAGTTGTACAATTCAAGAGAAATTTCCTATCTACAAGCAACCGTGTATTATTTTGTTTATTACATAAACACAATAGCCCTCTACTGACAAGAAAACAAAACATATGACCTTGGATTCAGAATGGTGAATGCTTTGCCATTCTTTTTATCAACAGGGTGACATGCAAGACAAGTAACTTGTCAGCAGCCAATTGGCAATAATAAACATATGTAAAAATTATCCTACTTTTATATGTGTGTAGTTACAGCTTTTCTAGGGGCTGGAGATCCTTAAAAAATACCACAGTTTATATTATGATAAAGCCTTATCAACAAGTGACTCTTGACAACATCAAATTCTCCTCAAGTTGCCCAAGGAAAGACAAAGCAATTTGAAAGAACAATTTTTAAGTCCATCCCCAGTAAGTCACTTGGGGCATCTTTCCACACACTCCTATTATTGCTTCCCAAACCTTTCAATAACTGCCTGTGTTGCCACCTTCCAGATAAATATCTCTCCATTGATACTGGCAGATGCAATGTAGTTACCACAGGGAGACCAAGACACCAGAGAGACCAACTGAAATACCAGATAACATTTGAAATATTTACCCACTGCATTTATGTAATAATTAGTAATTAAGAAATACTGTATTTCCTCAATTTTAGCATTCACCAAAGTATCCCCCTCTATCAATACTGTCTTAAAATCATTTGGTGACACAATGAAAAGGTAACTTTTTCCTTGATGTCAGCATGATCCTCATCTTTCTGATGAACAATTTGGATATCTTATGAGGAGTTTTAAATGTAAAAAAAATTAAGAGAGATTGTCTAGCCATAAAAGTACATAATTATACCTCACTGTGACCATCTTTTTCCAAGTTGAAAGTATTTTTCCATGTATCTCTTTCATAAACCTAAACATAGAATACAGCCATTACTAATCAGTATTAAAATTTACTTTTGCCATATGTTTAAGCAAAAGCTGATCCTCAGCAACCAACTAACTCAGTGACTCATTTGCTCCCTGAATGGTTGACTGACTGACTGATCATGACAGGTGGATACACAGGTGATGTAATTAACTGACTGACTATAGGGCTGTCTGAGTAACCAGCTGGCTGACTGACCAACTGACTGACTGACTAACTAACTTAGTGACTGACTAACTGATGGACGAACAGATGAACATACTAACAGACTGACAGACTGACTGACCAACCAACTGATTGACTGACCAATTGACTGCCTGGCCTACTGACCAACTAACTGATTGACTAACAGGCTTTCTGGTTATCTGAATGTCACCCCTGAGTTAAGGCCATGAAAATGAAGAAAAATTATCAATAACTAAAGAAGCTCTTGATTGTTAGACTATATCTCCTTGTCTGCAGCTTAGGAAATGTATAGAGAACAGTATGGAGAATATACATTCTGATGTTAGGGTGTAAAGGGATAATAGGTACCTTGACAGTTTTATCCACAGGAACAGCCACATACTAGAAAAAGATTCCAACAAGAGAAGAGTAAACAGAAGGTAGATGAATTTTTTTAATCTTAGCATCACTTATTTCAGATGAATTTTTTTCATCTTAGCATCACTTATTTCAGTGAATATTAATCCCATTAATATGAATCTAGACATCAACGATTAGGAGGTCCAGATTGGGTACAGACAGGTTACTAATTAGTCTTTCCTTGATTGAGCAATTTAATCAACATGCAAGTCATTAGACTTGGATTGAACCACCTTCCTAGCACATTTTTATTTTACTCCTAGGTATTTGAGCACACACTTCAAAGGCACTATCAAATTCACTGCACATACCTTGCCACTGCCTGGTTGCCAAGCAAGTCGGCACAAGGTCTTTGAGATCCTAAAGAAATGAAATTGACAAATCATTTAATAATGGTCAGATATCATTAATGTGAAAATTGCAAAAGTCATGAAAAGGTAAGCCATCCCATTAAGGTCAAAGAAGTGTACTTTTCCATGTCTTTATCGCATCTATGTGTACATCAATAGGTTCCTTTTTAGGATTTCCTTTTAATTCTTGAATTTCTAACATCCGAATATTAATTCTCCCCTACAGCTACCACAAATTTTCTCATCAGGTAGTCATGGAAATTTGGTGTTAGATCAAGATAACAACTTCTACAGTTGATAAGTTTTAGTATTCTCATGACTTGTTTGCTGGATAATGTATGGATATTACAGAGAGAAGTTACTTGTTAATCACTTCTGGGAGTTAAAGGGTTAACCTTCATTTTCAAATCATGTCTCCAAGGTTAATATTATGAAATGGTCACCAGATGTAGAATTTAATCACAGGGAAAAATGGAAAGAACATTTGATACACAGCCTTTTGTGCAGAAACAAAAAAGCAAATACTGCAGGACTCACTTTAGCAGGATAAGTTTTTTCATTTGAGCGCATTTTGAAGGTGAATCAGTATTTACAACACAGTAATTCATTTATATTTCAATCTACGGCAATTTTAAGTCTACCTTGTATCATTCACCCTAGGAAGAATTGACAAAGTCGTCTTGCAAGTCTGCCAAGAAATTATAAACATGTGAATGTCTCAATTGAGTAAATGTAAAAAGTTGTAAATTTAAAGATACTGTCAGTACAGTAGTTTCATTCATTTACTGAATAATCATAAGTATCACTAGCCCACAGATACCTGATGACATTTTTTTTTGGTGATTATCATAATGTTTAATTATCTTTGCTTTTTTTTTATTTTCCTACTTACTTATCTGTCTTTTCACCACCTATATTTCTTTCATTTCTTTTTTATCCTTTTTTATTCACTGAATGCATTAGTGCTGTAATGTTTTATGAACCTATTTGTTATATATAACAAAAATAAATGAGCAAAAAAAAAATAAAAAGAATACCTGATCATCCAAATTCCAGATTTTAACTGTACCATCACAACTAGATGAAGCCTAAATGCAAAATAATGTAGCTATAGTTCAGCTTTAAATTCTTTTGCTGATAGTTTTTCCATACAATACTGCATGCACTTCATGCTTCTTGAAAAAAATCCAAGTACCTCCAAGTATTTGAGGTACATGTTTAAATAAGACCCCCCCCCCCCTCCCTCCCACTGCAAGGGCACAACTTGGGGTGAGTGGTGGAGGAATGCATGCAATTGACCTTCTTTTAGTCTAAAGCATACAGCTTAGTTTATATTAACAAACTATTCAACAAGCCCAAAGAACTTGAGATATGCTAAACTGCAACTGAAAAAAGCCTAGGAGATTTTTAGTCATTAGCATCTTTCAAATTTTACAAGCACAATTCAGATCTGCTCTTCTTTCTCTAAATAACATTTCATTTATATTTTCACCCTGGGGAAATCAAATTTCCAGAACATAGAGATTTTACTATTATAATAAGAAGTTGAAAAATCTATTCTCTAACTCTTTAATCCCTGAGAGAGACTAACATCTAATTTCTCCTTTCAATATCAATCCTGAATCAAACATTAAGGTCATGAGAATAAAGGAAATGATAATCAACTAAAAAAACCTCTTGATTGTTAAACAGATTCTCCTTGCCAGCACATTAGAGAATGTATAGAGAACAGTATGGAGAATATGCATACTGTTGTTAAGGTGTAAAGGGTTAACTTACAACATATTGGTCCTTTGGATCCATTGTCACACTTAGCACTGGTGCTTCGTGGCCCCTGAGAACTTTCTGGCTCCCATCTGCTACGGTGACCACCTTTACATTGAAATCACTGCAATTGGTAAAAAATTTATTAGAGAAAATTATATTCAAAATTGAATACTTTCTCTACAGGCTTAAAAACATTTGGCAATTAATATAGGTGACAACATGATTTTAAGTGCAATTTGTTAATATTAGCACAAGCAGATGTTTCAAATAGAACAATATTGCATGAGCCTACAGGGAAAGTGTAATTTGTAGTCTTTGTAAAATTTATTCATTCTTATTACACCAATTACACAAGAAATAATATTTATTAATAATTAAAATAATAAAATATTAACAATTCATATAAAAAGAGCATTACAGAAAGTCAAGACAGCATGCACTTTTTGTAATTTGCCCTTGTGTTGCAGTTTTGCACTCAAGTCACATGAAAAATGCAATCAAGTCGAGCCAATCGAAAGTATGCAAAATTTTCATGCATATTATTAAACATCAAACACTCATTGATATGAGTTTATTGTATGTTGAAGCATGCAAACATTTGTGGAGCACTCTTCTGTAAAATTGGCCCAAGCAATCTGGTTTGAATTTTCTTTGTCTTAAGCTTGTAACAAACACCTGCAGCTTTCTTTATTATAATTTTCCATCTGGAAACATCTGCCGAGAGCTTTGTTCACAATTATTCACAGCACCATATGGAAACTGTTTCCCAAATCAGAAATTCTTCTTCAGTGGCCATTTAACAAACCTTGCTCCTGCTGCAAACACTGTTCCTGATTGGTTAAAGCAGATGTGATTGACAGGAGCTGTAAATCTTGTCAGGATTCCATCAGGAGACCCCTAATATTACAAAGCATTTTATTCAAAATCACTGAAAAAACTATTAATGCATCTTACAAGCCAGTTTCTTAAATAAAAAAAACAGCTAAAAATAAAAATGTTGAATTATTTTACCACTGTACAAAATATTTGTGTCTATTAAATGAAATTCAGCTTTTCCATTCCATGATCTGAACTGAGAATCCACAACTTCAAGTTAAATAAACATTTACTTCATGTCTATGTTTTAAACACTTCACAAATACCAATTCAAAACTTGGGTTGCATAGCACAATTTGTAGTTCAAACAAATCTTCCATGTATTTAGAAACCTATGAAAAGTGTTTAAAATCATGCACAAGCAAAGCTGGGATTCCACTTTATCACTGTTGTGAAGTGATTTCATCGAAAACTCTGTGATCAAACTCTGCATTCCTCTTTATGATCATGATAAACAACTTTGAAAACTTAGTGCTATGTAAAAATATTGAAAATAAAAATAATCCCTGCTTATATCTAAGTGCAGCCACAAAATATATTAAATACATGCAAATCATTTAACTAATAAAGACAAAACATTGACAACTACCTCAGGGAAGGTAAATACTTGCACAGAGTTGTCCGATGCAGTGACTATTTTCTTGTTCTGTGAAAAAATTTCGCAAAGTAATCACAATTTTAAATGTTACGAACATCAAAAAATTATAAGCAACAATAACATTTTACTAATAAGCAAATTATAAGGCTGAGTATGGCTCCACGAAAAACCGTTGTGTAGTATTGTGAAATGATGAAGCAAAGAATATCAGAGACTAACTAATGGCACACAGCACTTATGTACATGAAGCACCATACAAAAATATATGCGGTTCTTACTAAATCTTTCAGTTTAACGCAATACAAAAATTTTCTGCTTGCAAGCATATACCTTGACTAATAAGACTGTCACATTTTCTCCAGCCCTGACTGATTCCGGATCACTATCATCAAAATCTTTGTAGATACGTACATCTCCATCTGAGCCACACGTCAAAAGGTAACTGAAACCACAACAGTGAATGATAGGCAATTCAAAGCGACATTTATAAGTATCTAATTCGAAAAAGTACAGTATGCTTACAAACCGAGTGACACTCTCTTCTAGCACTACTAGTTAACTTGTTTTTTCCATTATGTATCTCATCACAACTAAAACTTGCTTTATTTCATGTAAATTTCATTGGACGAATTGAATCTATCGAAAGCTTTGCATCACTTCTCCTTACTGACAGTGAAATCTACAGACTCGAACGATCGATCGTGTAAACATTTCATTGCTTTGATCCTACCTTGCATTATATTCGTAGAGAGATCAGTGGACATATTGATTAAGAGAAGTGATCTAACTCAGAAAGATCAGACGATGTAGCGAAGTGACACCAATTCAAACACTGTTTTGCCAGCGACAAGAAAATAACATTCCGCAAAACGTGCCACTGATCATGGAGATTGAAAAAACTGGTCAAAAACATCGTTCCACTTAACTTACCTTCCCGTTTCGTCGAAACAGACATCCGTTTGACCCTCACTGTGAGCAAATCGCATAGGCTTTCGATCAGCCGGCATGCTGGCTTTTAGAGGAAGCTACAGAAATAAAATATACCGATTTCCTCCAGCTTCGAACTCAGAACTCTTTTACCCGCGTTCGATATAAGAATTTTCCCGCCAGTGATGGATCAAAGTGCATTCTGGTAACCTCGGTCCAGCTCTTCGCAGTCAGAAGAAAACAGTACTTGCTGCCTTTTTGTTTGTACTCAAATCTCCCCGTAATTTCACTGCTCTCTCAAATCCAACAAGGAAAAAAGTGTCTCTGTTCAGCTGCGCTACGATGATCCAGAATGAACTTCTTAATTTAGATTTCAGGGAGTGCACGTGACGGAGTCAAACAGAGCCAAGAAGCGACTCCCGCAGCAATCTCGAGCCCAGGGTCATTTTAGTTCCTTATGACTATTTGGCGATCATTCCGTTGACAAAATTAGTCGTCTCTCGATACAATTCCGGGCACAAAAACTGATGCTTTCTTGCTACAAACTTCTGATAACGAAAGATTGAGAAAAACATTTCATAGTAGAAAGGCGACGACAGGTCACTATTGTTGTGTTGATGTAACATCCGCTGTTAGGTGTATGCTTATTGGATTGTATGTAATCACGTGATCATTAATTTAACTCTATATCATTGTAAGTATATCCTGTAAGTAGCGAGTTGAATAAAGAAGTTGATTGAAACAACTTGCCTCTTGTAGTTTTACTCGTTAAGAACACGACAACTGGCGACGAGGATGACTACCATAGGATCGATAGAATCCTATGACCCAGCTAAGGAGGAATAGAGTTCGTATTCTGAGCGATTTGAGCACTACGTTAAAGCGAACGAGTTCAAAGACGAAAAGAGGATTGTAGCAGTTTTCTTGACGAGCGTAGGGAGCAACGGCTACAACCTACTGAGGGACTTAAAGGCCCCAGCAAAGCCTTCAGAATTCAAGCTTGCAGAACTGTTGGAAACGTTGAGCAACCATTTCCAACGGAAACCAATAATTATTGCGGAGCGTTTTCACTTTCACAAGCGTGATCAAGAAAAAGGGGAAGGAATGGCGGACTACGCCGCAGCACTAAAACAGTGTTCGGAACGTTGCGAGTTCGGAGGATTCCTTGAGCAAGCATTAAGGGACAGATTTGTCTGTGGATTGCGAAACAGGCAAATCCAAAAGAGGCTGCTAACTGAGACCGAACTAACTTGGAAAAAGGCCCTTGATACGGCCATAGCCATGGAATCAGCAGAAAAGCAGGCAAACCATTTCGGACCAGTGGCACCGCCCTCAAACATTAATGTGCTACCAGCACGTACGCAGAACAAGTAAGGCAGAAAGCCAAGAGAGCAGAAATCGTGTTTCCGTTGAGGTGGAAACCACGCACCACAAACGTGCAAGTTTAAGGATCAAACGTGTCATTTCTGTCAATGCAAGGGACATATCCAAAAGGTTTGCAGAAAAAAGGGAGCTGCCAAACCAGAGAGAGGAAATGTCTCTAAGAACTCCTACCCAGTATGTTGCTTGGAAGACGAGCAAGGCGTAGCGGGAAACTTCAGCATTTTCAAAGTGGAGGACGAAACAGCTGAACCAGCAATCCTAATTCACATCAAGATGAATGACTCAAAGATCCCGATGGAACTGGACACTGGAGCGACCCTGTCTGTGATGTCAGAAGAAACGTGGAAAGAGGCGTGTCCAACCACAACACTCCAACAATCGAGCGCGAGACTGTCAACTTACTCAGGGAACCACTGACAGTCCTCAGCAATGCAATGATTGATGTTGAGTACGAAGGCCAAACCGAGAGGTTGCCATTACAAATCATCAAAGGAAGCGGTCCAAGTCTGTTTGGACGTAATTGGCTTTCCAAGATTAGGCTCATTTGGCCTACAATCAAGAAGATAAGTAATGAACTTGATAGTGTATTAGATAAACGTCCAGAAGTATCTAAGGATGAACTGGGAACACTGAAGGGCGCAAAGGCTCAAGTTTTTGTTGAACCCGGAGCTGTACCCAAATTTCATAAGCTTAGACCAGTGCCACATGCAATTAAGAGGGCTATTGAGCAAGAACTTGATCGATTAGAGAATATGGGAGTGTTAGAGAAAGTTCGTTTTTCTAACTAGGCAGCGCCCATAGTGCCCGTAGTGAAACCAGATGGGGGCGTAAGGATTTGTGGGGACTACAAAGTAACAGTTAACTCGACTTTGGAGGTAGACCAACATCCGCTTCCAAATCCAGAGGAGTTATTCGTTGCTTTGAGCGGCGGAGAAAAATTTACGAAGCTAGATTTATCGCGCGCCTATCAGCAAATATTGCTCGAGGGAGTTTGTAACAATCAATACCCACAAGGGACAAATTGCACTCGCGCGTTTCCGGCGCGAGTGCAATTTTCCAGTCTAAGATTGAGCAAGTATTGCAAGCAATACCAATGGTCGTTTGCCGAGTAGATGATATTTTAATATCAGGCAAAAACGATCGAGAGCACATCAGTAATCCAACGAGGTGTTGACGAGGCTGGAAAACGCAGGCTTAAGATTGAAGCTAAGCAAATGTAAATTCATACAACCATCAGTTGAGTATCTAGGATACCGAGTCGATGCAAGCGGGTTGCACGCGATTGAGAAGAAAGTTCAGGCAATTCGTGACGCGCCAGCTCCTGAAAATCAGCAGCAACTTCGATCATTTCTTGGGATGGTTAACAACTATTCTAAATTCATAAGCAATTATTCAATGGTAACGCATCCATTGAATGAACTATTGCGTGACGGGATTAAATGGAAGTGGTCGAAATCGGAAGAGGACAAATTCGCAAAGCTTAAAGACAAATTAGCGAAAGCCCCAGTTTTGGTGCATTATCAGAATAATTTTCCTCTTAAGTTAGATACTGACGCATCGCATTCGCTTCGCGCACGTTGAACAAGAGTGAGAGAAATTATGCGCAAATCGAGAAAGAAACCCTTAGTATAATCTTTGGAATTAAGAAATTTCATCAATATCTATACGGACGCAAATTTTTGTTGGTAACCGATCACAAGCCTTTAGTGACGTTGCTAGGTTCGAAAAGCGGTATTCGGTATACTCTAGCTGCAGAGATGGGCAATCTTGTTGTCGGTATATCAGTACGAGATCGAGTATCGTTCAACTCTGAAACACGAGAACGCAGACTGTTTAAGCCGATTGCCGTTGCCCTTTGGAAGCAAATCAGAGGAATTCGATGAAGTTAAGTTGATAAATTCCCTACAAATTGGATCTTTGCCATTAACCGCGGGTCAGATTCGAAAGGCTACACGTGCGGATCCTGTGTTGTCCAGAGTCGTTGAGTATACAATGACAGGATAGGCTGATGACGAAAATCCGGCTATTCAAACGTATTATCAGAGACGGAATGAACTCACTATAGAAGACGGTTGTTTGTTGTGGGGAATTCGTGTTATAATTCCGGGTTCGTTGCGAGAACGAGTTTTGCAGGAGTTTCATGAGGGGGATCCTGGAATTGTGCGAATGAAGTCACTCGCACGACTCCATGTTTGGTGGCCCAAATTAGATCAATCAATCGCTTCCGTTGTCCGTGATTGTGCTAAGTGCCAATTAACGCGAAAAAAGCCGCAAATCGCACCACTGCATCCGTGGGATTAGCCAGACACGCCACGTACACAGGCGGAACGTTTCGTTCAGACGTTCAAGCAACACTTCAACACTGAAGGAAGTTCGTCAATAACGCAGAGCTTGGCGAGATTTCTATTCAGTAATTGAACGACGTCGAGAAGTGTAACAGGTCAAACACCGGCTGAGTTGTTTCCAAAACGCCGACCGAGAACTAGATTGGACCTACTGGGTCCAAATCTAGGTCGCAAAATCTCCGATCGACAAATGTACGACAAGGCGGAACATGATCGCAAGTCGAAAGAACGTGAATTTTCGATCGGAGAGGAGGTTCTTGTCCAAAACTTTCGAGGTTAGCCAAAATGGTTAGAAGACACCGTGGTTGAACGCACGGGTCCAGTGTCGTATTAAACACAAATCGGTGAGCAAGCGTGGAAACGACATGTAGACCATATGCGTGACAAAAGTCACAACCACACGCCGGATACAGGGGTAAACGCGCCAAAACCAATCGTTCCGAACCAGAACTACGAAATGCCAAAGCCAGAATCCTTGCCGAAACATTCCGAAGTTGAAGAGGGGGAAAAAGAACCAGGCGAGAGTGCACACAGCAGCGTGTCAAACAGCGAGAGCGCAAACGCATCGCCAAACGCAAACCTACCAGCTCGTTACCCCAGTCGTGACTGTAAGCCTCCAATTAGTTTAGGTTATGAAGAATAATATTTACACACTTAGGTCATCGCTTAAATATGGGGGAATGGGGAAATATGGCATGGGGGAACGTTGTGTTGATGTAACATCCGCTGTTAGGTGTATGCTTATTGGATTGTATGTAATCACGTGATCATTAATTTAACTCTATATCATTGTAAGTATATCCTGTAAGTAGCGAGTTGAATAAAGAAGTTGATTGAAGCAACTTGCCTTGTGTGGTTTTAGTCGTTAAGAACACGACATCTATTATCAAATGTAAAATCATTATAAGTTCATTGACCTTTTAGAAAGAAAGGAAAGTGTGAAATTTAATTAGAATAAAAAAGAGATGGAGAAAAACAAAAGAATGTACTTAATTAAATGAACAAATTCGCTGGAATAGTGTCTTTTTGAGTATTCAGAGTTGGTCTCTTTTTCGTTATTAAAAGCATCTCATACATAAGGCACTCAAACTTTCCGCGGCATTTCTTTAGGAAGGCAAATTGTTCGTGAAGATTCTTTGATTGTGTTCGTCCTTGAGATGTTTACCGATGACGGAATGATGGAGATTTTAATTGTAGAAAATCTCTCTACCGGAGATATTTTCTCAAATCAATGTATTTGTATTTTCCGGAAATCGTAATGGTTATAATAAATTGGTGACAGAACTTCGCGTCGTCCGATCAGTAATCATACTTGTGACTGAAAAATTGGACTTCCGTCTCGCGCTATCTGATTTTGGGTTCACTCGTATGATTATGGACCGCATTGGACCTCACTCGATCCTATCACTGATGATAAATTGGATAAAGAAACGCTCTCGCTTCAGAGGGTCGGTGGAAGAGTGTTCAGAGATCTAAGTTGCGCTTAAAAATTGTTGCACCCATGAAACAGTGAAAATAGTTCACGTGCGTAAGAAGGGTCGGTTGTAATTGTATAACATTTAGTCCGGTCTCAAGGTCTTCATTCAGCAGATCGATGTCACCCGTTATGTACCGATTAATACGAAGCCTCAACATCCCCCGCGGGCAACCCACGGGTATTTGACCGTTTCCCATTCCCGGGTGGTGGGGAATCTGAACCTTGTTTGGCTGAGGTGGGAAGTTTGAACCGGAAGTGTCAAGTCTCTCCATCGGAACACAAGTGTTATATCTTTAAACACGGAGGTGTTTGAACGAACGAATACTTCTCAAAATTTGAAGAAGCATCTTTGAAGCCGGAGAAGAGGAGAAAAACCGTCCCAAAAACCCAACAAATTACTCAAGACAACACACCGAAAACCAAATTTGCGTGAGTTTTATTTAACTGTCTGTCAACAATGCTCGCCCTAGCAACCAACGGTTGCGGATTGCAGTATTTTTGAAACATTCCGAGTCGGCATGACAGTCTGGCTTTTAACAGGTAATGTGATAAGTCTCAAAACCCACCTACAGTCCTGGAGAATATTGGATCACAGACCTCTAAACAAGACAAAAAGCAACATTTAGGCCCAACGAAATAAAATTTTAAAAGTGAACTGAAAAGAGTACAGGGTCATAAATTAAACTTAGAAAGCGGGAAAACTGATGCTAATTTACCCGCAACGCAATGAGCTGAAACATGCCAGACGAAGTGCGTCGATGATATATCAAACCCAAATAAGCCTATTAGTCGTTTTGTATTACAGGTAATTTTTTCCTTTTTTTGCATTCCAAAGCTAAGTAGTCAGCGTCATTTCGTTTCAGAACAAACAAATCTGTCTTGCTCTATAAAGAAAAAATGCCCGTGTCGATGACGAGGGAACAGCCTTTGCTTGGAAACGTGGACTTCAGTCTACGAGCATGTTTGATGTAATGTCCCAGTCTTGTGATCATAATATTAACTTCGCCAAGCCTTAATTCGCCTTCGGTTCTGGTAAAGAATTAGTCCTGCAAGTTAATTCATTGCCATCCGAAATTCGACCGAATGGAATCACTAAGGAACCTATTGATAACGAAGACTTTGAGTAAACTTAGTTTGGCGGCAGTTACCGTGTGGTCTGGATTCGAAGTTGTTTTGTTTTCAATCTTCGCAGGCATCGAAGGCGGTGAGTCTTCACGTTTCCGCTGTAATATTAATAATACGAATGACAACGCGGACTTCATCAAAGAGAAGTGCTTTGGTGAATACGAACAGAAATACATCAAACTCCCCGTCTGTGGCCTCGTCATCATTAACTTCATAGTCATCGCAATCATTCCTGTTATATACTCTCAGTGCGTCAAATCGAGAATCCATGAGCTCGAGACACGCGACGCAGATGCCGCAGCACCGGGACAACAAGGAAGTCAAACCACGAAACGGCTTTTCATCCGCTACTGTTCTCATCTGGCCTTAGAACTTGCCCTAGCGATCTTTTTCATCGTCTTGCAAACCAAAGTCGCTTATCCCGGTAACTTTCCCTCGAACTTTCGGTGTTATCTAACTAAAGAACGAACTCAATCACCATTATCAGCATCAGACTTCAAACCGACAAGCAGTAGTGTTTACGAATGTTACAGTTCATTAGCACGCAAAATAACTTTTTGGAGTTATTTTTTAACTGCTGTTGATGGATTGTTTGCTCTTGTCACTTTTATTGAAATTGTCTGGATTTTGTCTCGGGCAAAGAACGGTTCACACTTCATGCAAGACTGTCATTTTTATGATGATCATCTGCTATCCAACCGTGACCCCATTGGCGTTCCGTTATTAGAAATATCCCAGCAGGCGCGAAACAAACTGCAAGTGGACTTAAAGAGCTTGAAGGACGATGTAATAAAAGGCACGAAACAACTTAGAGATCTGAAACAACCTATTCGACCTAATC